CGAAGCGAGGCCCCGCCCCGTCTCTCTCTGAGGGGCCTCGCGGGGGCTGGCCGGGCGGGTCGGTTTTGGTGTTAGTAGTGACTTCTCAGTGATTTTTGCCCTTCTTTTTATTCTGCCGTTCTGTAAAAGGTGAAATGCTCAATAGAACTATTTGAAAGCCTTTGCCAAGCTGAAGTCTCGGATTTACGTTAACAGCCCGGAGGCGTCTGTCAGACCTCCCCCCAAGCCCCAGAGCGTTCGGGGGTTGGACAAGGCTTCGCAAATATAAAAATCAAAGTAGAGATGTGGAAGATGTATAAAAGAAGCTATTCAATGAATCCCAGGTTCAGTGATCACTTTAGATCGGTGCCTTCATTTGTCCTGGGCGCGTTTTTTGACATGTATTGTGATATTTATAGGTATATGCAGACTCTGGGGTGTTACTAGAGGTCTGATTTTTATTGCATTAATGTCTGTAAACCCTAATGGGGACAAGAACGCCACTGTTACATGTGATCGCCTAAAGAGAGCTTTCCTTTTTTAGCTGTCTTGGAGTCTAATTAATGAACTGGCAGCAAACCATAGTCTGTTTTATTCACAGAAGAGGTTAGGAGGGGATAAAAAGTGGAAGGGTTGGCTCTGCGATGCTGGCATTCAGTTCTGCAAAGCGATTTTTTGGGGGGGTAAAATTTTGTGGCCTTTCAGTGCTCTGTGTGGGCTAGAGAGGTTGCACCCAGAGCTGGTTGCTGACCGAGTCATGGGGAGGTCTGTTAGCTTGTATGCAGGGAGGTGTACCTATCAAGGAATTAGCAGGTAGAAGTTATGTTGATAGGTGTGCTGGAAATAATAGGTCTTATCATTTAAGTGGCACCATGTGTCAGAAGTTGTAGATGACTTTCACTGCCATAGTGAGTTATTTTGATGATGCTATTCTAAAAATAAGTTAATGACTGTTCTTGCTTTTGTAGACAGTCTTTGCGTGGGGAGCTGTGGTGTTTAACTCCAGATTTGTGTTACGTTGCTATCAAAACAGTATTTTTTCGAAGTTCCTGAAATTTTCTTTTTGGCAAACATGCTTTTTCAGAGCTGTTGTAGGGACACCCATTTTTCTGGCTGCATATGCCAGAGTCGGGATTTGATCTGTAATACTTTATAGTGCAGTCTGGCTTTTCTACGGAGTTCTCAGGAAGAAAAAAGAAGCCAAGGGTAAATGTTCTTAAGACTTGCGGCAAAACATTCTACCTCATGTAAAGATGTTGCAGTTTTATGTTCCACTTAGAGTGAAGGATGAAGCTGTTATGGAAGAATTTGTTTGGAGGAGAGCATTGAATGTAACTGAATAAAATATTGCTGTATACTTTCATAAGGTTTCTTTTTACTAACCTCACACATCTAAGTAGCAAAATCAAATTGAGCTAATAAACCGATATAAATGTGGTGCTTCTTTGATATGAGTTTGCAAGTTTTGCTATATTAGTTGTCACCCTCTCTGGGTCTTTCCTGGGTTCTTCGAGGACATCTGAAACTGGGCAGCTAAAAAATAATGTTCCTTAAATCAGTTTTCTTATATTGCAGTGTGATCTGCTCTGAGTTAATGGCATATTTGAAAAGGTGTAAGTTAAATGGAGGCCTGAAATAGTGTTCATCATTAAAATACTCTCCACCTTTTCCTGTACAGGAGCAGCAGAGAATTGTGGACAATTCTTCTGGGCAGATCAGCTTTAAGAGAACCAGTAAGTCAGTGTTTTCCTAAGCAGATTTGCCCGTCGCTGAATATATCATTTGTACATCTGTTTGAATATTACTGAAAACATGTTTTGCTGCTTTTTGCTCTTCGTCAGTGTGATTTTTTGTTCTTCTATCTCCGCTACTTGTTCATTCTTCCACTCCTTGTTTATAGCTGCTTCATGAACTACCTGGAAGGGTGTATGTGAAAAGGTGGTTCCCTTTCTGGAGCGGACACAAGTGCTACTTTCTAGACTGGCTGGCCTGGGGTATTCATGAGTGGTACAGCCTGCTTCCTTATTTTCTGGGACGGAGCCCGTGCTTTCAAGAATTTGCCCAGAGGTTGGAAATACGAATGTTTCTGAACCTAATCCATTGCCTCCTATTTCCTCTCCCTTCCCATGATTAGGCAAGGCAGTGAGCTTTCTCCATGCAATGTGCATCTTGAATCAGTCTGAATTATAGGTGCTTATGTTGTTCCCGTCTCTTTGTGGTGGTGGAATTTCTTTGCTTTGCTTAAATTTAACAAATCTGATACTCAGCCGTGTATGTTGAGGAATCTGTTCAGTAGTATTTGGTTCTTTTTTGATAGGCACAGATTGCGGCAGAATTGAACAAGCATTGGCAGAGATTGTTAGAGGGACTTTCATACTATAAACCGCCAAGGTATAGTAATTGTCTGATTTTAGAAATTAACCTCTAAAATGGGGTCTCCTAATAAGTAGAGGAGCATGTTGAATATTTCTCTGTGATTACATAAAAATAGATTTTTACTCTCTTGCATGACTAGTAATTTCAGAAGAGGAATAGTAAGAGAAAGTACTTAATTCACGTAACATTTTTGGGCGTGAAATACAGACCAGAAGGAAGTAACAGGAGTTTCTGCTGTCATTACTAATATGTTAGGTAGCTCTTAACCCTTGCCTCTGCTGAGCTGCAGCAATTGTAAGCAGGTGTGCAGCCTGCGGAGAAGTGACTCCTCTTGATACTTGGTCATTCCAGAAAGATATCCACATTCCCTCGTTGGAGAAGATGGAATGAATATAGCCTGCCTTTATTATAATAATCTACATTTATTATAGTTATAATTGTGAACAATGTTTGTTGGGAGAATTACGGAATATTGCTGTAAGGAATATTGAAAGCCTGTGGAGGAAAAAGCAAATGTTCCCTTCAAACTGGTAAAATGGAGAACTTTGAAAATAAGCCTCTTTAGTTCATTCCTTGGGATTGCTGCATTTTTCATGGCTAAAATATCTTTTTTTCTTTAGTACGACTTCTGCAGAAAAAATAAAAGCTGATAAAGATGTAGCTGCTCCACTAAAAGAGTTGGGTCTGAGGGTCAGCAAGTTTTTGGTGAGTGATGGTGCTGTTCTGATTACTTTTTATCCCTGCAATTGGAAGGCATTGTTGTTTGGATTCATTTAAGTAAGCTTCTTGATGTTGAATAGAGGCAAACTTAAATTCCTTTCAGTTCAAAATAATCTAAAGGATGTTAGAAATACATGTTAGGGCTGTAGGTGAAAATTTTAAAAAGTGATTAGTGACCTTAAGGTGTCTCAGTTTTCCTGGTTAACACTCCCTGCTGCAAAGGGCTCTGTTTTTCAGAAGAGTCACCCACTTTTGGGTGGTCTTGGGTTCTTTCAAGACATCTGAAATTGCTCAGCTAAAAACTGATGTCCCTTAAATTAGTTGCCATGTTTGAAAATACTGTTGGTTTACCTGCAAGGTTATTTATGTTTCTTCAAGCCAGAAGTTGGAATTGAGTGACTGGTGGCGGTACCTTTTTTTAAAATCACTGTTACACTCCTCTCGCTGAAGTTAAACTGGCTACATCTGAGTGACATCAAAGCTTATGTATTTTGCTTTCAACAGACTAAAGCAAGCATCTACCCGATGCAAAAATTTTTCTTTTGGCATATTTTTGAAGTTAATTGTTTGGAAGACAAGAGCTGCCTGAATAATTGGAGACTATCTTCATCTTTAATGAATTCAGTTAGCTTTTATTCATTTCAGAGCATCTCTCTTTTTTTCAGGGTCTGGATGAAGAGCAGAGTGTGCAGTTGTTACAGTGTTATCTTCAAGAGGATTACAGAGGAACAAGGGACTCCTTGAAGGTCCATAGCTCCCATTTCTATTCTATTTACTCCACATCTTTCCTTAATACCAGTAGTTTGTTGGTGGGTATGGTCACATGTAAATCTGAGTTCTGATTTGGAAATGGCTTTGTAGCTTTTCTTCTCTGAACCTACAATGCCCAAGTGCCGTATTAAGGAAATGTGATAGCAGATATCCAGGCCTAACTTTCTAGTACGTCTTCGTGCTTGATTCTCTCTGCAGGAACTTGGCTTCTCTCTCTAATTGCAAGAATACAGGAAAGCTACAGATTTGTGAAGGAGACCGAGTGGAGATGAAGAACGAATATGTAGTTACAAATGAGTGTTTTGGCTTTGTACCTTTGGAATCTGTCTTTCCAAAAGAAATTGAAAGAAAAATTGTCTTTTGTTTATTTAAGTCTTCTTTGTGTGTGTGACTATGTATTTTGTCAGTAGGTATTTCTGCAGTAGATAATTCTTTATTTTGTTGTGTTTTACTTACAGACCATTCTTCAGGATGAAAGGCAGAGTCAGGCTCTGATGCTGAAGGTTAGTCACTTCCATTTATATTTTCTGTTGAAAAGATCTGTTGACAGAGAACCAAGTTTATTTCTATAGATCCAGAAAATCTTGGAATAATTGAAGTATTCCTTCATAGGAAGAACATATTTTAGAAGATGCTTCTGAAATAGAGGGATGTGCATAAAGATTTGAACAGTGTTAATAGTTGCTACAGGAAGGAAATTTTAGGCTTAATATGAGGCAATTTAGCTGGGCAGACATATGCTCCCGTATTTTCCAAAGCTTGTAGGTTTATTTGTTATTGTCTGAAGTGACAGTTCTGAAATGGAGACTGATTGTCATATGACAGAGGATAATAGGGATGAGGGATGAAAGATCATCTCTCCCTGTCTTTTTGCCTTTCTTTTCCAAATTTTCTCACTTAGCAGTGTAATTATAGATATGTCCCTATGGGCATGTTTTATTGAGTTCTGTAAAGTTAATTAAGTATATATTTTTTTCAAATAACTTAAAACCAGCTTGGTTGAAACTCCATCTGTAGTAATGTTTGAGCACTATATGTTTTTGTGATGAAGGCCTTGGCAGGAGAGGCCTTGATGGGAGAGGAAGGCGTATTGGAGTTGGATGCTATAGCAAATTGATATCAATGATGCTATATATTCACAGCTTGCTGACTATTATTATGAAGAGAGGATCTGCATTCTGCGCTGCGTCCTCCATCTACTCACTTATTTTCAGGATGAGAGACACCCTTACACAGTGAGTGTAGGAACCTTTTCCTGGATGTGATGTCATTGAAATAGGCAAAATATGTAATTTGTGTCGTAGTTGTCCACTTGTGATTGTAAAAAGCATGTGAGTGTGCAAGTGAGAAGTTCATTTATTTGTTCATTTATTTCAGGCACAATACTTCCAGTGTGTTGAAAAGTTGGACAAGGAACTAGTTCCTAATTACCGGAAACAGTTTGAAGCGCTGTACAAAGCAGAAGCTCCTACATGGGAAACGCATGGAAATCTCATGGTATTTTGTTTTTTGCTATTATTAATGAAACTTATAAAATCTTTCTTTATATGTACTGTATTGGAAAATGTGTATATGCAGGTGCAGTTAAAAAGGATGTTTCTCCTGGTTCAAGAAACCTAAAATTTGTTTTCCATCTAACAGAACACACTTTTACTCAGAAACAGAGTGTTGCATGGAATGTGTTGTTCCTTGTAATAAATCCATTGATAGTCCTAGGCTGACAGATCCATTTATATGTAGTTGTTCCTAATCTCTCTGCATCAGCACGCTCTGTATTTACAGTGGCTTTCCTTGCCACTGATACAAACCACTGGTTACACAAGCTGTCGAAATGCTTCAACACTTCTCAGTTTCTAACGATTTAGACTGACCTGTGAGCTTCAACACATGACGGTAGAACTTCTCCTTGTGCAGACAGAACGTCAGGTTTCCCGTTGGTTTGTGCAATGCCTCCGTGAACAGTCCATGCTCCTGGAAGTCATCTTCCTCTACTATGCATACTTTGAAATGGCACCTGATGAGCTGCTGGCATTTGCAAAGATGTTCAAAGAACAGGGATTTGGCACTAGACAAACCAACAGACATTTGGTAGATGAGACCATGGATCACCTGGTGGATCGTATTGGGTAAGTATCATGTGTATTTGTGAAGTACAGAGCAAAACAATTGTTTTCCTCAGGAAAAAAGCATTTATAATTCTTGTTGCTGCCTCTTAAAATCACTGCTATTTCAAGCTAAGCTTATTGTGATGAAGGCAAAATAGCTTTTTTGGTCACATTGGAGGTTTGTGGCAAAATGAAGGTGTGATTGCGAAGTGGAGAGGTATCCAGATACTAGCTTTAATCTAGTATGTAATCTTGCCTCTGGTAAGAATGGCAATGAGGACACAGTGGAACTCCTGAGATGGTCTAGTGGTGAAGTGAAATGGTGTCTTCACAGTCCTGTGCTGGTAGTCGTAGTGCTGGTAGTTCCTCCCAGGTAGCGAAGAGTTACAAAGGTGGAAAAGCCATATTCAGATTTCACTGACCATTTTTTTCTGTTCAACCAGAAAATGGTAGTTCTGAAGGTTGCAATCTACATATACTAGCATTTCAAGATTACCTGCTGTTAATTACGTGTAATTTCTTACTGCTTCAAAGAACAGCTGAACAAAAGCAAACTAAAGGTTGTTTTTTGACCACTTGTAATTTAAAAACACACCCTTTAATTCTTAAATAAAGTTCCTGACCTATTTATTTTTATTCTTTTCCTGCTTGTAGCTACTTTAGTGCTCTTATTCTGGTGGAAGGCATGGAAATTGACTCCCTCCATGAGCGTGCTTTGGATGACAGGACAGAGGAGCACAAATTAGCCAATAATGAGCGCATCCACCAGGTAAAGCACTGGCAGAGTAACCCCTCATCAGGCCTAACAATACAGAACTTACTGTGATTACCCAGGCTTTGCTGTTCAAAGATTATGTCTGTAAGTTTCTGATCCTTGGTTTTGTTGCCCAAGTGTAGGAACTAGCATCCACACAATATTCTGGGGCAAAAATTAATTCCTTTCCCCCTTCTATTTCCTTAGTTATCTTGCACTTTTCTCTAAGGAAAGATATGTGCAAAGAAATAGGCATAGTGAAGTTTCCAGAAGGGAATGAAACAAAAGACTTGTCTGTTAGTGCTTTTAGGACAGAGTAGACCAACTATAAGTCAGTAAACCATGCAGAAAAACAGACCGAGGCTGCAAGTATATAATTTGGTCAGCTGCATGTTTGAAATAATTATCTGTAAGGGAAAGGTGACTGTTAGCAAGAAGACACAATCAGCTATATGCTTGCCAGGTACGAACTTCTTTCAGAAGATCTCAGTTATTTTGCTTTTGTCTTGTCTTTGCGCAGGAGATGGACAATCAGCTGCTGCAGTTAGGGGATGTCTCACATCACGCTCCGGTGCTTTTGGCCTGGGCTCTGCTCCGTCACACTGTAAACCCAGAGGAGTCAACAAACATTATCAGGAGAATGGGCAGCACTGCGATCCAGCTGAATGTTTTCCAGTATCTGACAAAGCTTCTGCGATCGCTAAGCAGTGGGGGGAAGAATGTGAGTTCGTATAATCATATATATAAGCTCTTGAAGGTTTTTTTAACTGTTGCTGATGTAAAGGTATGATGGGAAGCGGTGTTCCTTCAAACTAAATCTGGTTTTAAGCAGAGTATGCAGTAAAGCATGTTTTATCATCTTACCTTCTTTCAGTGAAGATCAGAAATCAAGTTGAAATGAAACAGATTTTTATGCCCAAAGAATACTTAAAAAAAAGCTTTTGTAAGTTGAGGAACTACATCTCTTTTAAAGCTTCTGCGATCGCTAAGCAGTGGGGGGAAGAATGTGAGTTCGTATAATCATATATATAAGCTCTTGAAGGTTTTTTAACTGCTGCTGATGTAAAGGTATGATGGGAAGCGGTGTTCCTTCAAACTAAATCTGGTTTTAAGCAGAGTATGCAGTAAAGCATGTTTTATCATCTTACCTTCTTTCAGTGAATATCAGAAATCAAGTTGAAATGAAACACATTTTTATGCCCAAAGAATACTTAAAGCTTTTGTAAGTTGAGGAACTAAATCTCTTTTGAGCAGGATAGACTGCATTTAATCACATTTTTGATTTGCCTCCATAAGTGTACTTGCTGTTGTGGTTCTTGAGTATTAGATGATTTAATTCTGCACTATTCTCTGTATATGATTTCACTAGACAATACCGTGTATGAGAGAGAGTAAACTACTCTGTAGGCGGAAACCAGTGAAAGCAAATCCTTTTGATCTCTGTGAACACTGAATGCTCCTTTTTTTGATGGTTGGAAGGCATTTCTAGTGATAATGGTGGTGGTACGATTTCTCATTTTGGTGAAATACTTCATGTTAATGTGGAGCTTAACTAATGACTGCTTCCTGTCTTGCTGCCCCTCTGCTGACTGCAGCAAGGATGTGTGAAAAAGGCAGTTACTCAGTTTGTAAAGCAGACTGAGTAGCTGCAGTGTGTTCTGTAATTCATAGTTTTTCCTATAATGGCCTTGTGTATTCTTTCGTTCCAGTGTACTGCCAGCACAGCTTGTATGTGTATTTATGGACTTCTTTCCTTTGTCCTGACATCACTGGAATTACATACATTGGGCAATCAGCAGGTAAGCATCCAAGGCTCATTGCATCTGTTACCTAATGTAAAATAACCTTTCATAAGTGACGCTAATTACTTTTGTTAAATTGTAATCCTCCATTTGAGACTGCAAACTTTATGTGACTTAGATCTAAAAGAGTGATTTGCTGTTTTTCCTACTGCATTTACACAATGCAAACTTAGTAAACGCCTCTGCAGACTGGCTGATTAATAATGAAAGAGCACATCTTGCACTTGAAGTCCTATGGATTTGAAACTAATTGTTGATATGTGCAATAGAAATAATACATTCTCCATTTCCAAGTTTGAGAAGGCATCATATAGCCCTTTGCAGATATAATGGACATATTTGTCCTGGCCAGCCCATTCATGATAAGGGGCATGGCTTTGGGCTGGGTCTGTGTTCTGGGTTTGGGTGTGTTGGGTGTTTCTTTCTGTTTTGACTAGAGGAAGTAGTTGCATCTTGGCTGGTAAACACAAAAACTTAAATTCCAAAGATATGGCAGAACTTGGTTGGGATGAAGTCCCCCTGCATAAAGTAACTTTTATTTTCTCTGTCCTCTCTTCCTTTGAAGGATATAATTGATGCTGCATGTGAAGTTCTGGCAGCTTCCAGCATTCCTCAGCTCTTCTGGAAGACGGTGAGTATGTTGGCAATTTCTTTGACCTACCTTGCTTATAACTAAAACCTTATAAAAGATCTCGTTTCAGGAAAGGAACAGACTGATTGTATTTATTTAGTTAGTTTCTAGGAGGGCCTGAGGATCTAGTGTTCGTTTGCATCTATCTTTGATTTACTTTTGCCCTTTCCTGCCTTTTAGGTACAGACTTGGCTTTACTCTTGAAAGATACTGGAACAAGTTTTAATATAGGTGATAGTTTAAACCAGAGCTGGGGTTGCAAGGATTGAACTAACTGCTGGCAAAAGCATCATGCTTTTTTTTTTTTTTGTTGTTGTCACAGAATTAGGATGATATGTAATGCATTATAGTCTTCCTGCCTTATACTTGCACACTGCCTCATGCTTTAGTCTGTGCAAGGACTGGAGTGATATTTTTGTGCGTGATTAATGTTAAATTACAACTTATAAAGGAACTGTATCCTTGTGCTATACTGAGACCATTTTAGCATTTCTTTTTAGTAATACAACATTTGTTTTCTACCACTAGGAACCTACTGCCGGTCTGGGTATTATCCTGGACAGTGTGTGTGGGATGTTCCCCCATCTTCTTAGTCCTCTCCTTCAGCTGCTCCAAGCCCTTGTGTCTGATAAATCTACTGCAAAAAAGGTACAGGATCTCTCTTGGTGTTTGGGAGATGATTTATTTCAAGACGGGGATAACATGCTATGTAGTAATTCTTTCCATTACATGTGGTTATCTCAATTGCAATCTTAGGTAACAGACATTAAGCTTTTGTCAAAGAACAGTGGACAGAGCTCCTTTTTAGTCCTGTGCTGTTGCAGGACACTCTTTTTTGGCTTTTAGAAAACTTTTCAACTCTAATGGCTGAAGATTAAGATACCACCTAATTTTTCAAGTTGTACTTTACATCATAAGTTCCTGATTCATTAGAGGAGACTTGTCTGGACATGTGGGCTGTCTAATAATGTTTTGGTAGGGTTGACATGTTAGGAGGATATTGACCATGTCAAGAAAACTTGTCTATTCCTGGAAATGACCTGGTTGATTAATTTTTAAGAAGGTCTGGCTCTTCAGCTGTATTACTTAAGCTCTCTCTGTATACAGGTATACAGTTTCCTGGATAAAATGTCCTTCTATATTGAACTGTACAAGCATAAACCTCCTGATGTGATCTCTCATGAAGATGGCACGCTTTGGCGAAGACAGGCTCCAAAGCTCCTCTATCCTCTTGGTAAGGAAACTGCGCTCAACCTTTTCTTATTGAAATGCTTTGGGGAATTTAGTTCTTTGTCTGGCTTCTAACTCATGGGTAAATTTGTGACTTTATTTCACCTGCTTCTTCAATCTTTAGGACTAGGTCAAACAAATCTGCGGATACCTCAGGGAACAGTGGGCCAAGTGATGCTGGATGATCGAGCTTATTTGGTACGGTGGGAGTATTCCTACAGCAGCTGGACACTGTTTACCTGCGAGATTGAGATGCTGCTCCATGTTGTATCAACAGCAGGTGAGATAGGCTGGGAGTATAAAAGAGAATAAGTAATTGTTAATTGGTATCAATTTGAGGTTAATAGTGGGATTGAACAAGTCTGAATACTTTTGAAAGAGCATGGAATACTTTCTCAGAAAC